ATCATCACATGATCTCTTATAACAAAATCACATGACCTTTTTAATCCACATACTGGAGTTTGTATCGTGTTTTCCATCGTGATTTTTGATCTTTTCTTATCGAATAAAACGTTTATCCTACTCAGTTATGCGCATACTTAGTTTTTTTTGCATCATGGTGTTTCCATAAACCGTTTTTTTTATGTGCATAAAAATAGGTGGATGGAAACATAACTATTGAAAGACAGGAATGAGTTTCTCTCTTGTTACTTGTTCTCGTGTCTTTTGTCATTATTTTATTTATTATTAGTCTCCCATTTTCTCTACCTTCTTAAGGTCATTGCTTTTCTTGTTATCCTACTGTTTATAAAGCGTCCTAGAGCACCAGCGCTATATAAAATAAATAAAAACAACTAATAATAATAAAAAAAACTTAAACTGAGCTGAAGATATTTGACCTACAGTATTCTCATAGAAGATATCTGCTATTACAGTGATGGTGTTGGCTTAGTACTTTCCATTTGCATATGTCACATTGATCCAAATTAACTTTTTTCATCGACTTCTTTATTGGTTTAAAATTGTTTATAGTAGTTGTTACTAGTTCTCACAGATAGTATCTGAGTTAGAATCACATTATTATTATAATAACTAATTACCAGGGCTATTGTGTTTAACCAGGGTTTCTGCGGGGTCTTAAAATGTCGTAAATTCCAAAATCAAAATTTTCGGCCTTAAAAAGTCTTAAATTTACTGAAATGTTGTGTTGTAGGTCTTTAATCTTTTTTAAACAAGTCTTCATTTTCCTTTTTTTATCTTTTGCTACCTAATCTGGCCAAAACCCCTACAATAACCATCAATCCATCTCAATAAAACTTTCCACTTTTTATTCAAAAAGGTCATTTTAACTCTATTTATTATAATGGTTTAATAATTTTCCTTACAATAACATTTGTTTAAACGTGCTCCATGTATTTACTACTGAAGACATCGAGGACAGATTGTTGTGTAGATTTTAGTTTGTTATTGTTTTTAAAACATTTAAAACATTTGTTCATTTTTAATTATTTGATATTAATGAAAGTTTATTTAGGAAAATAAGTGTGTGGATACAAGTAAAGCTTGCTTGTTATTACACACAATTTAAAATCTTTTGCTAAGAAATATCTATAATATATATTTTTAATTTATTTATTATTGTATTATTAAATGTATTAAATTAAAATTTTTTTTAATAAGGCAAATTAAAATGTTTTCATCTGAGCTATGCCATTTTAAATTGTAAAGAAATCTGTGTTTATAAAACAAATGAAGACAACAGAAGTCAAGTATTCAATTGAGTGATTTAAGCCTGGTTTATACTTCTGCGTCAAGTGACCGGCGTAACTCACGTCGCAGGCAACGCGCGCAGCTGTGCATTTATACTTCTGCGCGCTGTCTCCGTTGGTCTGCATTAACACTTCCGAAACGCTAGTTGGCAGTGAGGTGTAAATGTTCCTCTGTGTCGAGTTTCTTTGCTTCTGTTTTGCTTTTCCTGAACACTTCCTGGTTGTACAAGTGACTCAAACTTGCTCATTTTGAGGCAGGAACCGGCGGACGTGCAACAACTTTAACTATGAGGTAAACACGAAACAAAACTTTCCATCCGGAGCTCCTTCACGGGACTCCACACTTGTAAACAATCGCTCGCGCCATTCGCGCGGCTCTTGGTCCTGCCCATACTCGTCAGTGCTACAAAGCTGACCAATCACAGAGCTTGCGCTAGGCGTTGTTGCGACGTGTAGTTACATTTTTTGAAAGGTGCACGTCAGTGACGGCGATGGCCACGGCGAAGGGCTATGCGTCAGCGCTGTAGCATATGCCGGCGTTTGACGCAGAAGTATAAATCAGCCTTTAGCCTGATATGTTTACTGCTCCAAAATACTTTAAAAGTTTCTCAAAAGAAAATGTTTTGTGTTCAAAGAGGAAAAAGTGTTTTTTTTTTTTTTTACCCAGACATTTAAAAGAATATATTTAAGAGGAGTAATCACAGTACCATGAAACTGTGATATTTTTTATTCAAGGTTGTCATACTGTCAGAATCTTATACTGGCCCACGCCTAATGCTGCTTGTTGTAGCAAAGTCATATTATCTTATTTTATTGTTTTTCTTTGTATGTATAGTCATGAACACACTTGTTTGCAGAGCAAGAGAGCTTGTCTCTGAAAGAGAGTTTTCTGTCGGTCTCCTCCCCTTTTTAAAAGATAAAGCGGTATTTCTCACTTAGCCTTACATATTGTGCTTTTTGGATAGGCTATGAGCATAAAAAATTGGTTGGTTGAAACGTCATGATGCCCATAACCTTTGAAATATAAGCATAAAGAAACATGCGCATAACTGAGTAGGACAAACTTTTTATTCGATAAGAGAAGGTAAACTCACGTAAACAACGCAAGCACTTTTACTGAACAAATTCCAGTATGTTTGTTTAAAAAGGTTTGTTATAAGAGATCATATGATGATGAAAATGTGTGTGAATGCACAAACCAGCAGGCTGAGAACATTATAAACATCTGAAATGTTGTTTTGGTCATTCTAAAACACCTGCACCGTTTCAGTATTCATGTTATTATATTATTAATGACCTCCAGAACATCTGTTCTCTGCGTCTCATTGCTTCAAACGCCAACACGTGTTCATTGTGTGCCAGCATTGTCCTCTGAGCTGTCATTTAAATAAAAGATTCATGTAGCTTCTTCTACCGCAGTAAATTCTGTTTTTACTGTTCTTAAATGGGGCCTGTTAATCAGGAAGTGACGATTTTGTTCTCTTTGATTCATTGGATGGAAACGCAGCTTTATTCGCACATCTTTTATGTGACATCCCAGTTTTGCGCATAAATTTAATTCGCAGTTTTGGATAGAAACATAGCTATTGCCTACATTTCAGTTACACAAAGAACAAAGTCACATAGCAGAATGGCTTGTCCTTTCTTAATGAATAATTAGCTTAAAATCACTGACCTTTGACGGACATGTACTGTAACTAGATTAATGGGATTATTACTAGTTCTAAAAAGATTTTTTAGTCCTGCTTACATTCTAAATGTCATATCAACCTCTACCACTTTATCGAAAAACCATTAATCGAGATAAACGATTATTCCATCATATAGAACACACACCTAACGCCATCTTAATCTGAGCGCTTTAATGGTCAAATGCATGCAAATTTGGGTCAGAGTGCTGTGTTTAGTGAATATTCATATTAACTCTTATTTGTGTAATAAACAAACAAGTTGAGAATCAAAAGACATGTGAAAGAGAAACCATATCAGAGCCGCACTATTCTTAAAGTGACAGCGCGCAATAATCCTGCTGCCGACTGTTTTTAGCATTAATCAAACAACAAAAGGAGAAAATCCCTCTCTGCTCTTGACTGAAAGACTTTTGTAGCTCAAATGTTTTTCTGAAATTGAAAACTCTTGAGTATTTGATCTCTCACTAAATCAACTCAGAGTTCAAGTTTAAACTTGTAGTTGGTTGAACCTCATTACTGAAACAGGCCCCAGGTCATCATGACGTGATTGACAATAGTCGCTGTTTGTCATTGTACTCTGTTTATCCTGAGAGCTGATGCTGAGTATTCTTAGGGCTTTTCACACTTCAAATAGTTAACCCTGGGTCATTCTAACCCTGTATTAATTCTGGGTTATCTGTAGTCACCTTCCACACTGCTCATGCTATACCTGGGGTTAAAAAATAATCCTGGGTGTTCATTAACAGACAGTTCACATTTGTAATTCCTGGGTTAACATTATTATATTGTATATTTATGCTGTCACTGTACCTGATTGGACAAACCACAAGTAACCTTTTTAGATGGCATTTCTGCCTCTTGTCAGGTATATACAATGTCACCAAGTAGGTCTTCAGCTAAGCCTCAGGGCATACACAAAGACAAGAAAACAAAGACAAAAGTACAAATAAATGAAAACAAGTAAAAAGGATGTCATCTTGCCATCTCCACATCACTCCTGTTTAAAGCAAATGTGGCATTAAGAATTTGCATAAGTTTTATACAATAATGCAAACTTGTAAATATAAGCGTGAATTATGCATACTTGCTATGGACATGCAGGATTTGTCTCAATCGGGTCTTCCAAACAAGAGGGAACACAACACGAGTAATCTAGAGCGAGTTCATTTGATCATTTGCTTCTAAAGTCACAGGCACAAAAAGAGCTTGGTTTTCCTCTGACCCCTAAAATTAAATATTCTGCAAGGTATATGATCTGATTTTGAGCTGAAACCTCAGACACATTCTGGGAACACCAAAGTCTTATTTTACATCTTGTAAAAAATGGGTAATTGTAGGAACCTTTTAAAGGGATAGTTGATGCAGAAATGAAAATAGCCTCACCATTTACTCTTCATCGTGTGGATTTAAACCTTTATGAGTTTCTTGATCCTGTTAAACACCGAAGATATTAAAAAAAAAAAAAAAACGCTACTGGCTTACTGTGTTCCACAATAAAGGAAAGTTTAAAACCACATGATGGAGAGTAAATGGTAAGGTAATTTCATGGTAAGACATTCAACATTCATTTCTTGCTTGTCACTTTGAGTCTTCATACTAAAGCTAACTTTTTTTTTTTTTTTAGACCGGATGGTGCTGAAGGAAGAAACTCATGGACAGAATGAAATAGATGAGAAACTGCAGTTTGAGAAACCCCAAGAAATAACGACTGATGAAAAACCCACACTGACTAAAAAGACTTCATCACACAGAAGACCTCGGAAATCCAAATCTGGATGTAATTTTAGCTGTAAACAGTGTAGAAAGAGTTTCAATCAAAAGTCAAACCTTCATGTTCACTTGAGAGTTCACACATGGGAGAAACCTTACACCTGCAAACAGTGTGGAAAGAGTTTTAGTCAAATACAAGGCTTTAAAGTCCACATGAGAATTCACACTGGAGAGAGGAAGTTCACATGCCAAAAGTGTGGAAAAAGCTTCTATCATGCTGGAAACTTTGAAGCACACATGAGAATTCACACCGGGGAGAAGCCTTTCAGCTGTAAGCAGTGTGGAAAGAGTTTCAGCCAAAAGCCAAACCTTGATATTCACATGAGAATTCACACTGGGGAGAAACCTTTCAGCTGTAAACAGTGTGGAAAGAGTTTCAGTCAAAAGTCACACCTTGATATTCACATGAGAGTTCACACAGGGGAGAAACCTTACACCTGTGAACAGTGTGGACAGAGTTTTAGTCAAAAACAAAGCTTTAAATCCCACATGAGAATTCACACTGGAGAGAGGCCGTACACATGTCAACAGTGTGGAAAAAACTTTCGTCATGCAAGAAACTTGGCAGCGCACATGAGAATTCACACTGGAGAAAAGCCTTTCAGCTGTAAACAGTGTGGAAAGAGTTTCAGTAAAAAGGCAAACCTGATTGCTCACATGAGAGTTCACACTAGGGAGAAACCTTACACCTGCGAACAGTGTGGAAAGAGTTTTGGTCAAAAACAAGACCTTTACATCCACATGAGGATTCACACTGGAGAGAAACCTTACACATGCACAGAGTGTGGTAAAAGTTTCCCACATATAACCACACTCAAACACCACATGAGAACTCACACTGGAGAGAAGCCGTTTGCATGTGCTCAGTGTGGAAAGAGCTTCACAACCAAAACTAGCCTCAAGAACCACATGAATGGTCACTCTGGAACCATAGTGTTCACATGTGATCAGTGTGGAAAGAGTCTCACTCGCAAAGACTCCATTAAGAACCATATGAAGATTCACTCAGGAGAGGATCGTTTTAGATGCAGTGAGTGTGGAAAGGGCTTTAAATGTAAAAGAAGCCTCAGCGCTCACCTAAAGCTTCACAATGGAGAGCAGAGTCCTCAAAATTGAGGCCTTGTCCACACAAACACGGGTTTATTCAAAACGGCAGCTTTTTCATGTAGTTTGGCTGTTTATTCAAGTGAAGTTTATTTAAAAACTACTTTCGAGAGGATCACATGCTTAGCTAAAACATGATTCACAAATTAGATCATCCTTTGTTATAAATTAGTGTCTCACAGACAGTACTTTGGTTTAAGTTACTTAAAGACAGACAAGTTAACATCACAGCTGAGGCACTGCACTATTCATTGTCTTCAATAAAGTCTTCACCCCGTAAGAACTTTTTACAGCTTACTTATTTTATGTATTAAGAGTCATCTATACATTGGCGAGCGACCCAAGAAGCCAAAATAGCAAAATCTAACAGTGTGTTTTAACTTATTGTGAACCGATCACCATATTTGTGCAGGGTTCCACACAATTCTTTCATGTTGTCTCAACACAAATTTAGGTAACTTAATACTTTTACCAAATTATTTGGACTGAACATTAAGTTGTCCCAATCTCAAAATCTCAAGAGTTGTGTTATTTCAGCACATTTTAATTAAGTAGTTTGAACAAGTAAAAAAAAAAAGTTTGTTTTTTTCCCCGATTTCGGTTTAATGGAGATAAGACTTTTTTGGCACATTTTTAAACATTATAGTTTTAATAACTAATCTCTAATAACTGATTTATAAATAAATAGGGAAAAAATAGCTTAAAGGGGCTAATAGTTTTGTCTTTAAAATGGTTTAAAAAAGAATAAAAAACTGCTTTTATTCTGGCTGAAATAAAACAAATAAGACTTTCTCCAGAAGAAAAAAATATTCTCAGACATACTGTGAAGATTTTCTTACTATGTTTTACATAATTTAGAAAATGTAAAAAAAAACATGAGGGGCTATATATATATATATATATATATATATATATGTATGTATATATATATACACGTGTGTGTGTGTGTGACTATTACTAAGTGGGCAAAATAAAAACTGAAACTAAAAGTCACACTTTAAAAGAAACTCCATACCACCGACTGTTTCAAAGATTTGGGATTATATACTACATCTAATTTTTATGTTTTTATTAATTAATTCATTTTTATTTAATGTTCAAAAAATATGACATAGGCTTTACATGCATAAACAAGCAAGACGTAATAAAATTACAACAATAGGCAGACACAAATATAGGGAAAAAAAACAGTATAGTAATGACAATTGTATTTACCATAAAAAAGTAAATAAATACAAATTAAATTAATAATAAAACAAAAATAAATATTTTATAAAAGTTTATGCAATATAAACATTCAAAGGGCTGTGAAGGGGCTAAAAAAGTAGCTGCTTTATATATATATATATATATATATATATATATATATACATACACATACATACACACACACACACTTTCTCACACACAAACATAGACACTGTCTGTCGTGCACACACACACACAAATACAAACTCACACACAAACATAGACACTCTCACACTACACATGCACACACAGAGCAGTGAACAAATGCACGCACACACACACAAACGTGCACACTCTCTCTCTCTCACACACACACACACGCACGCGCTCTCTCTCACACACACACACACACAGACAGACACAAACAGACTTTCTCTCACACACACACACACACTGTCTGTCGCACACACACACACAAAGCTGCTGACTGCTCCTGCAGAGGATTCTGGGTAAATCTCTCGTCAGTCTTCAGCTCAGTTTCACTGATGATCCAGGACTAAGCCCAAACCCAGGGCAGAGCGGCTCAGTGAATGTGGTCTGGACTGAGTGGATGAGGCTCATTGTGTCTCTATAGATGTTGTAAAAGATCAGAGTTCCTGCACTGTCATCCACAAACACTCCTATTCTCCTGCTGAGCGGCTTCACTGGGAGATCAGTGTGTGTGTGATTGTGACTGAATATGAATCTGGAGGAAGAGCAGAGCAAACTCCAGGACTGATCATTATATCCAAACCAACACTCAACACCTCTTCTCTTCCTCCTGATGCTCTTATATGACACTGATATACACACATGATCATCTCCACTCCAGTCAATCTCCCAGTAACAGCGTCCACACACACTCTCTCTGCACAACACCTGACGATCATAATCAAATCTGTCTGGATGATCAGGATACGGCTGATTCTCTCTCACACACTTCACCTCTCTGTTCTCCTCAGACAGAATGAGTTGAGTGTGTGCTGTGTTTGGATCCAGAGTGAGGAAACAGACATCTGAACACAAGAACACACACATTTACAACCACAGCTGTGTGTGTGTGTGTGTGTGTGTAAGAGAGAGAGAGAGAGAGAGAGAGAGAGAGAGAGGGAGAGGGGGGGGAGTATATGTGTGTGTGCGTCTGATTGTATAGCTGCGTCCCAAATCGCATACTTATGCACTATTCTACGCCATTTTGTAGTATAAATAGTGTAAGTAGTGTGTTCACACTGAAAATTTTAAAAATAATTAGTGCACTTTAATTACCCGGATGATGCACTTATTCAGCCGCTAAAATGAAGTGTGTAATGATGGACACTTCACGCACTCAACGACCGCATGTTTGCTTACGTAGCGGAAGGGGCGGAGCTATCGGACGCACATGTTGAATAACTTTATTTATTTTGGATGGTGAAAGCAAAATTCTCCTACGATTGTGATTATAGCGCCTCCCGATGGTGAATGCGGCAATACTCACGGCAGGTTTTATTTGATAGTTTGGTCATTTATTTCAATGATTTGGCAACCGTCAAACGTCATCAGGGAAACGGTTTGAATTTCCGCTTAGTAAAAAAAACATAAGTGTGCCATTTGGGACACCACTACATACATATACTATCCTGTTGAGTGTGTAAGTGCATAAGTACATAGTGCATGAGTGCATAGTGTATAGTGTGCCATTTGGGACGCAGCTTATGAGAGAGAGAGTGTGTGTGTGTGTGAGAGAGAGAGAGAGAGAGAGTGTGTGTGTGTACGCATGTGTTCACTGCTCTGTGTGTATGTGTGTCTGTTTGAGAGAGAGGAAGTGTGTGTGTTTGTGTGTGTCTAATTGTGTGATCATGTACATGGGTGTGTGTGTGTGTTTGAGAGAGTGTGTAAGAGTGTGTGTGTGTGTGTGTAGTCCTACATTTGCATGGTCCTGCTGTAATCCTCTTCCCTCCTCCATGATCCAGACTGTAAACACACACAGATGTACATTCAGTCAGTACGCACGCACACACACACACACACACACACACACACACACACACACACACACACACACACAGGTTTTCCTTTAGTCAGTACACAAACATCAGCTTATAACACACACACACACACACACACACATACACACAAACAGGTTGTCCGTTAGTCAGTACACAAACATCAGCTTATAACACACACACACACAAACACACACACACACACACACACACACACGCACAATAAGACATGTGGAGTGTGTGCTGAATGCTGGATTGTGATTGGCTGATCTCAGTGCATTAATAACTGCAGTAAAACAACATGAGTGTGTGTGGAGCTGTCAAATCAGCTTCTGAATGACACACAGAGCTTTTAGATCAGATGTGGAAACAGAAAACAGAATGGAAACACAGAAACAGACAGATATAAAGACTGAAGGATTCATTCAATGATCAATTGACAAAAGCGCAGCACAATAATAAAGCAGAATTCAGTGTAAATGACTTGAAATATGATAGAGATCTTCATCTTCTGTCAAATGCCTCTTCATCATCTCCAAACATTGCTAAGTTGGAGAGCAGTGAATCCAGACCAATCTGCAGTCTTCCTTTCCCTTTGGAAGCTTCGTGGGTTTGTGTTCTGTTTATTGTTCATAATACTTCAGTTATAAAGGATTAGTTTAGGAGTTTTTTGTCATTTGCTTTATTTGAGTTTGTTCAACATGTGATTGTCACTGGACATTATCAGAACCAGCATCACTGTCTGCTGATCACTTTTATTGCCTGATATTTTGTGTTCATGTTAGTTTAGAAGCAGAAAAGAGCCAGATTACAAGATATGTGAGATATTTGCCAGAAACATCTTTGTTATGTCCACATTGTGAATGTAAATTTATATTGTTTATTTTCTTCCTGTTTATAGTTTTACTCCGCCCTTATTAAAGTGTGATAAAGGACATTCTGTGTCTGTGAAGTTAATGAGGGAGAGTTTAACCTGCTGTTAAAGTATACACAGGACGTATTTGGAGAACAGTACACACACATCTCTGACCTGATACTGTACAGTTCTTCAGCAGAAATGTAGAGAACAAGTTTCACTGCTCAACTACAATGCTGAAACTGTACAGTGTTAATATGAGATATAATATCACGCTTAATGTGAGAACTGCCCCAGTGCACTGACATATTTAACAGCTTTGATTCATATCTGGACACTAGAAGAGCAGTGAAGTATCAAAGTATCTGTATTCACAATAAAAAAGGCAGTGCTGCTCCACATACTTGAGTTTGTCCAGTGTGTAGTTTGGATCCTCCAGTTGTTCAGAGAGCAGCTTGACTCCTGAATCTCCTGGATGATTGTAGCTCAGATCCAGCTCTCTCAGGTGTGAGGGGTTTGAAGTCAGAGCTGAAGACAGAAAACCACAGCCTTCCTCTGTCACCATACAGCCAGACAATCTACAAACACAGCAATAGTCCACATCACACAGTTGGACAATCACACATCTCTTTGTGTTGTGAAGATGCTGACTGCTGTTTCTGCTCATGTCAACAGCAGTGATGAACACACACATCCTGATTAGCTCTCCTTATTGATCGAGCCCTCGCATCAGCACA